CCTAAAAGCAGCCAGTTTCTTTCTTGACTGAAAATGTCAGGAATGCCCTTAGGTCTGATGATCTCATCCTTGCCTGAGGTCAGAGATGCTAGAAATACTGGTCAAACACTGTCTGGTTCTGCCTGGCCTCAGGGATGTCAGAGAGGGGCCAGGGGTCTGGCCTGCTGCTCTGTTTCCCATCTCCTGAAAACCATACAGATAGTGTAATTAAAACTACATGGCCTGGATACCTGGAATAGAAACTGGTCTGACCAACCCATCCCAACTGTTCCATTCTTCCTTACAGCAAAGCCTTATCAACTCCAAGACAGTAACATCAATGGTACCCCCCTCTTGGGGATCCCTCCAGCTACAAAGGAGCTGGCTGTCTTCCTTCTCTTAAGCTCCATGGAATAAAGTTATTTCAAAGACTTAACATCTATGAGTCACAAATCTTATTATTTGAGTTTCCAAGACAAGAATACAAGGAGAAAAAAAAGAACCCCAAATCTACCACCTTAGGGTGGCTTTGGTGGCCCTAGCCCCACAAGCTAAGCTTACCAAGAGCTGCCTAAAATGGCGAAACTTCCTCTCCCAAGTTTCTTCTTGTAAGGTGTGTGGTTGTAATAATGGGAAAAATAACTAGTGTCATCTGGTACTGTCCAGATCTTTCTAAAACGCAATTCTAAAGGTGTTAAGCCCCTGCTTATAGCTTTTCAGTGGTTTCCCAAGTCCCAGAAGACTTTAGGTTCAGACAGCAATTCAGGAAGCTTCATGTCATAAAATGATCCTGGTAATCTATGTGGTCTTTGTCTCTATCTAAAGTGTTATTTCTACAAATGCATTGTTCCAGTGGGTCTGAAGTAGTGTTCTAACCTATCAAACCTCCCCTGGCCTCCCATTCTACTGATATCCCCCTACTTATACTTCAGCATCCGGCTCAAGCAGCTCCTTGTTTTCTGAATCAGTTTCACAGCATCATGACTCGGCCTTTCTAAATCGTCATTCCTTCCCTAGTGATAACAGTACACCCAGAATCCAGTGAGCTCCTGAAACTGCTTGGTTGGTCTTCTGAGACTTAGTGGGAATTTGGTCTTTTCTATCTTGTACATCCTTTACTGCCCCTGGCTTACTATATGTAAAGTGTTATGCGAATGCTTATTGAAGAAAAGGAAACCCAAGGCTATACCAAGACATAATACCTTCTTTTGTTGGAAAACAATTTTGTGTGTGTGTGTGTGTGTGTGTGTGTGTGTGTGAGTGTGTGTGTGTGTGTGTTTGCATGTATGGCGGGTGTCTTTTTCAACTGTTCTCCATTTTATTTTTTGAGACAGGGCTTCTCCCTGAATCTGGAGCTTGTGTGTTCTGCTAGTCTAGGTGGTCATCAAACCCCAGGGACCCTTCTGTCTGTAATTCCTCAGCACTAGGATTACAGGTTGCATGCTGAGCCTGGCTTTTTATGTGGGAGCTGGGGATGCAAACTCAGGTCTGTGTGCTTTGCAGCAGGCACCTCACCAACCAAGACGTCTGCCCATCCCCAATACTGGTTTTTATAACTTTTGATCTTGGTGGTTTTCACATCAAGCACCTTGATTCCATGCATCTCCTATCCCTTCATCTGTGCCCCCTGCTCTTGCGAGCTTCCCCTCAAAATAACATAAAATTTAAGAGGAAAGAAAAAAGCAGAAAAGAAAAAAAAATCTCGTCATGGAAGCTGTACTGTGACACAGTAAGTCACACAGTAAACCCTTTAGTCCATGTCCTTTTACTTGCAAGTGCTCACTAAGTCTGGGTTAATGTCTCTGGTTTCGGCTTCAGTATCGGGGCTAGGGTTTCACTGGGACTCCTCTTGGTTATCCCGTTGTTGTCCTGTATCATGGAGATCCTGCAGTTTTGGGTCTGCAGGACCAGTCCCTTTACATGCTCCAGCAGATCATGGATGGGTGTATGTGGGGTGGGTGGGAGGCTTGTTCAGTCTGCCAGCTCTCCCACGTCCTCACCACCAGGGTGAGCTCTCCAGCATTGCCCAGGCTAGTTCACCCTAGGCATCAAGAGCAAGGGGTGGTGGTGGTGGCGGGGGTGTTTCCTGCCTTCACACCCTCACCCTAAGGGCAGCCTCCCCTACATTTATACCACCAGGGCCAGCTCTACTGTGATGCCCAGGCAAGGTGCAGGGGCCACTCCCCTGAGTGATGCAGCTGGCGAGGAGCAGGGTCAGCTCTTCCATCTTATGACCAGGGTCCAGCAAGAGGTGAAGCAGCTCTCCTTCATCCACACCGCTGCGTGGCAGATGGTAGTGGGACCAGCTTTTCCACACTCACGCCCTTGGGGCCAGCTCAAAACCCTCCCTTCCTCCACTTCCCCCACCCTCTCATCCCCCACCAACAGGGTATAAACTCTACAGGGGTGCCCAGTCAGGATGCAGGGCCTGCAGTCCCTAGTTTGCAGCCAATGAGGGTCAGGGATAGCTCTCCTGCTCTCATGACCTCAGGGCCAGTTCTCCCCCCCCCTCGCCCCCAGGTAAAGGGTGAAAGCCGGGCAGGGGGAAATCTCTCCCTCACTCACACCACTTTATGGCAGATGAGGGGTGGGGCCAGGCCTCCTAAGCTCACATTCTCAGTCGGCTCACCAATATTGTTTTAAAAGGCTTTAACTGTTTCGTTTGCTTCTATCAATACTGCTTAACCATCGCAAAAAGGCTTGGGGGACAGCTACAAATGGAATGTAGATGTTGAAAGGTTCAGAATTTAATGCTGATCGGCTCTACCTCTTTAAGAGATAGACCCCACCCCCTGACAACAGTGAGGGCACCCACAGAAAAACGTGCTACATCATCACCACATCACCCGCCACACATTATGTGAGACATGAGTGGAACCTCAGTGCACATGCGCAGTCTTCCCTTTAAAAGTTCCAACTTTCCTGCTTCACTCTCTCTCTCTGCTTCTTCGCTCTGCTCTTCTCTTCTCCCACCTACATGCTTTCTCTGCCTCTCTATGGCGACCTGCCATGGCGGTCAGTCATTACCCCTGTTCCTCTTCTCTCTTAGTCTCCCTACTCTACCGGGGCCTTATAATAAACTGCTTAATATGTCTAATAATAAACTAGTTAATATGTCTTATCTTGCGCCAGCCCTCCTCTTTTTCATTATATCTAATTTAAACAAAAACATAACATTTGGCGCCCACATAAACTCTACAGGGCTTCCCAGGCATCTAAATCTGAGGCTGTTGGAGCTTCCCATTTTCCTGTCACAAGAATTCCTGAGCTGGTGTGGTGGGTGGCTTTAGCCTTTAATCCAAGTACCTTAGAGGCAGAGGCAGGCAAACTTCGAATTCAAAGCCAGCCTGGTATACATAGTGAGACCCAGTTTTTCAACAAAATAAAATACAGGAGATAGGTATTTGGTGTTTTAGAGTAGTCCCATTGTTGCCCCGTTACAGAGACGGAGTTTTAAAACCAAGTCGGCCAGAACTGAGCCGTTGCCCTGACAGGCCTCATTCTTTGCAGCCCCATTGACTGCAATGATCTCTGAGCTGAATCCTCTATGTTGGTTGCATAGTTGGGGCTCAGCTGCTGCTTCTCGGTACTAAAGGCCATGGCATGTTGCTGTGCCCATGGGGCCGCAGGTACCGCCAACCTTAGCTGGTTGACTGTGTTGGGATATGGATAAGCGGTCCCAGGTTCACAGCTTGCTGAACCTGGTTGTAATTCTAGGCCTCTCAGTTCACTTTCTGCCTGTGACGGTGATGAATCACTGCCCAAGGTCACAATGGTGCTGCTTGAATGTTTATACCAAGAAACATGTGTATGTATTTCGGAGCTCACGTTCACTGAATTTAGATTGATACGTAGGAGGCTCTTACTTTCTATCACAAAAGAAAACAATCTTTGTAAAAGAACAAAATATTTAAAAGAAACCTAGGATCTAGCCAATGAATGTACTAGTTTTATTTTTTTTTCTTTTTTCACCATCAGCAAAGCAGTTGTCTATAATCCTAACAAATGGGTATAAAAGATAAAGCTGGTGACATTTTCTAATTCTAAAAATCTTGGAGTGTTGAGTTGTGTTAGGAAGACTTAGAGCTCTTCAGGAACTCACTTCTAGAGTACTTTTTGTCAAAGTAAGTTCTACCAGCCTGTCTGCAACTCACGTAGAAACGATGGAATTTACTTTTCCTCCTGTATGATGGAATTTTGCATGGCTTGGATGTGTATGTGATATTAACTCTGTTGCTCTATTTCTGTAGACACATCTCTGTTGTTATTTCATGAATAAAACCTGATTACATCAGAACAAAGTTCTTTAACAATAATCATGATGTATATTATAGAAACCATTACATGCTAACTGCCCTGGTTTGACCATTATTCAATGTCTACATGTACTAGAATATTCTTCTGTATTAAAATAGCAAATTGTTAGATATAGCTTAGCAGTTAAAACACTTGCTCTTGCAGAAGATTTGGGTTCAATTCTGAGCATTCACACTGTGGCTAACGAGTACCTCTTAGCTCCAGCTCTAGGGAATCTGACTTGTTCTTCTGGCCTCTGAGGGCACCAAGGCATGTACTTGGTACACACACATACACATAACAAAATAAATCTGAAAACAGATGGTAAAACTGGTATTTCAAGGTGTTTTTAAATGTATAATGTATGTATTTTGACAAATCTGATAGTTTGGTTATGCTTAGCCATACCAGAGAGAGAGAATATGCTAAAGACTGGTTCTAGTTATTTTGAATGAAATCTGTCAGAAAACATAAAAATTCCAAATGCATCACATATGCATAGATAAAATAATACTGAAGTAGAGCCCATGAGAGTGAGGTGGCTCAACAGCTGAAAGTGCTTGCTGACAAGGCTGACAACCTGAGTTCGAGTTTTGGCCTTACGTGTGTAAGAAGAGAATTGACTCCCACAGTTTGTCCTGCTGACCGCCACATGTGTGCTGTGGCACTCACGTGCTCACACACCCCAAATATATAAATAAATAAATGTAAAATAAACTAAAACATGATCCTGAAGCATTCATTTTATTAACAAACACAAACTTGAGATATTTATAACAAAACACCAATATTGAGTAATTCTACAGCCGGGAGGCCGCCTCCATCCTGTTTACTTTGCTGGGATCTTCCCAACCACATCGAATCTTCAGTATCTTCCTCCTCAAGCAGGGCAAGGAGAGCACAACTTTACATATCAGGACAACAGTTGGAAGGAGAACGGCTATCATGAAAGTAGGAGGCATGTACCAGACAAACTGATTGATATCTACCCATTTATTCCAGGCAAAAATCAAAGCGTGTACTGTGCCCAGAAGAAGAGAGACAATTCCCAGTTTGCTCTGCAAAAGAAAAAAAAAAACATTATGACAAAGGTTGATTTTAATAATAGTCAGTTCCACCCTACCCGACTGGGACTTGTTCTGTTGCTTGCATATCCTTTCGTTCATCTACAGTTATTTTCCCCACACGTTTTTCAACAAGGTCCATTCATACCTTTTTATTCTTTTTACATGTTGTCCTTACCACATTACTTTTGGGCAACTGTTCTTGTTTCTAAGGTAAGTTGAAAATTCATTACCTTTCCTTTAGTATCTGCACCTTCTCTCAATTCTGTTTAAGACATCTTTCTTAAGATGCTTTTGTTTTTTGGTGGTGATGGGAATCAAGCAAGCCTTGTGCATGCTAGCTAAGTACTGTAACACTGACCAGCATCCCTGAACTCATTATGACATTTGCTTTATGATATTTTGTCTTATTGGTTTCATTTTAATTTTGCTTATCAGGCAATATCTAAAATTACACACTGTCTTATAGCAGGGTCCTGGCAGAAACAACACGATGGTTTGAACATACTAGGTATTTGATGAATATTGATAAACTGACTGAAGAATACTATAAAAAAGCATTCTGGCCGGGTGTTGGTGGTGCTCACCTTTAATCCCAGCATTCGGGAGGCAGAAGCAGGCGGATCTCTGTGAGTTTGAGACCAGCCCGGTCTCCAGAGAGAATGCCAGTATAGGCTCCAAAGCTACACAGAGAAACCCTGTCTCAAAAAACAAAAACAAAACAAAACAAAAAGCATTCTGACCTCAGTGACCTTTATCAACTGATATTATTTTAATTTTGTAAATGAATATGAAGATGAATTTTATGTGTGTGTGTATACATTTTGCCAATGAATCATTTTTTAATGCCAAGCAAAAGGTTTTAGGAAGGGAGGTGGAAGAAGCTGTTATAGATTTCTTCCTTCTTCCTTCACATAGAATAAAGTCACCCTGTTATTTGATACAAGAACCCCCCCAATCTACCACTTAAAAAAATTTCCTGATGCTATATGCTGGAAAAAAGAAGAAATAAAATCACTGGTCCACCAACATTAGAGAAGATCCTTTGATATCACAATTGTACATTCTAGAGGATGCTAGAAAAAGCAGCAAGGAAAATCTGAGGCCAGTTAAAATATTTGTTTAGCCATCTCAGGCAAATGGGTGCTGGCAAAGATGTTTTCTCCTGCGTCTGGGTGTCAGCAGAGGAGAACTGGCACAAGGACTTTTTTTTTTTTTAACCAAAAGAAAAATAATTGAGACAGGAACTCATAGTGTGTCATTGGTTAGTCTGGAACTCACTGTGTAGACCAGGCTGGCCAGGGTCTCACAGTGTGTCACTGGCTAGTCTGAAACTCACTGAGTAGTCCAGGCTGACCAGAAACTCACAGGAATCTGCCTGCCTCTGTCTTGGGAAAGCTGGGATTGAAGGTGTGCCTAGAGATACTTTAAAACAAATACTAGAAGATGGCTGGGCATACATCTGTGGAGGAGAAAGTTGAATTCTTTTTGCATATGCCAAGGAGTGTACAGCTGGGCAAATGCTAATGTTATTTTCAGGTTTTTTGAGAATCATCCACATTTCTATCCAGAGTGGCAGAACCAGTTTGTAATCTCATCAACAGTGAGTGAGGGTTTCCCTTTTCTCACAGCCTCTACAGCATTTATTGTTAGGATATGTATATATGTATGCATGCACACACACACACACACACACACACACACACACACACGTATACACACTTATTTGAGACAGAGTCTCACTATTTAGTTCCCACTAGTCTGAATTTCACTATGCAGATTAAGTTGGCCTTGAACTCATGGAGATCTATGTTTTTAAAACATCATATATTCTGATAAAATGGAAGAAACATTGGGGATAATTTCAATGTTTGAACAAACTAAACCTAGAAGATATGAAGAACAATTTCAACTTGTTGAAACACTCTGACATTAAACAGAGAGAAAGCTGTTTAAAGTTGTCCACCAACATACTTTTCAGTCATTCTGACAAGATTCTTCTAGACGGTTTTTATTGGAAATGTCACTAGCCTAACAAAATAAATATATCTCAATTATTCATTTGTGATGTTATGCCTCCATTAAACAGCTAGGTTTATATTTTTAAGATATGCAATTTCACTCCAGGTGAAGTTTCTAGGATCATAACTGAAAGATACTCTTGATTGTGTGAAGATTAACTTTCCAAAACAGGTGTTATCTACTTATAGGTCACATGGTGCACAGATACCAGGGTGGACTTGTCAAGGTACAGTGCCCAGATTCAGTTTAATACCAAAAAGCAGTGCTCATTGTACATGTGGCATAAAACAATGTAAGAAAGAATTTCAGGAGGGAGAGAGGGGACTTCAATGGCCACCGGCCAAACACAAAAATCCGTGAATACTTTTCTTCGAGAATGTAGTACAGAGTCTAAGGCATGCTGGGATAAAAGAAACTTTGCGGCTTTATTGAGATACACATGGATGTGCAGAAGAGACAGTGGAGAATGCCTCACTGTGTGGAAATTTCCAAAACTCCCTACCCATAAAAGTTAAGATTACAACTTCAAAATGTCTTGGAAGTTACTTATGACTGAATTAAGTTCAGCTCCTTGGCTTTTGTTACATGGGCCCTTTTTGGTCCATTGTTCTTTTTAAGTGTGGCCCCCTACCTAGAAGATATGTGAATTCATGACAGGATTTTGAATTCCAGAAATATTTTGAAAGTTCAAGTGATTAAGCTAATTTAATTGTAACTTAGAAAAAGCATCTTGAAAAATTAAATAACAGAGCCAGGTGTGGTGGCTCATGCCTATAATCCCAGTACTTGGGAGCTGACATAGGACGATGACTGCCTTAAGTTCCAGGCTAGTCTGGGCTACAGAATAAATTCCAGTCTAGCTTGGGTATAAGTGTGAGATTCTATTAAAACAAAACAAAACTAGGTATCAGAATACCTTCAGTCAATAAAACTTTGTACTTTAGAGAAAGATTTTGTTTTCTGGAGAGTACAAAACTGTGTAACCTCAAAGGCATGAATAGAAAAAAATGTTTTTATAAAGGGGCTAGTAAACAATTGATATTCCTAAAATGTCATATTTACATTTATTGGATGGGAGCAGCAAGTTGTCTAAAAAAGTTTTAAGTTTAAGAAACAATATTTTGGTTTTAGTAATGTGTCTTATTCATGTCTACAAAATGCACCCTATAATTTACAGAAGCAATAGAAAAACAGTAAGAAAACATTGTTTTTATGGAATAAATCAATATATTTAACATTCCAAGAAGACTAGTGTTATTTTTGCATATCACTGACCTGGATATAGTGGAATTCTCTCCATGTTAAAGAGTCACTCACAGATGGGATAGATGTCACAGCCAAGAGAGCCAGGATGGCCAGTCCTACAATCCCCAGGGACACATAAATCTCCATTCTCCAAACATCATGCTCAATCCAGGCATCCTCTTTGTTTTGTTGAACCTAAGAGGAATGCAACCATACTTACTGATAGGTTAACTTACTTGATGGCTTAGTCTGACAGAACTGTGAAGTGCATGCAAAGTCTGGTAAATAAGTAGAGGATAAAAAAAAAAAATCAGTCCTAACAGTCACACTGTCAGGATGCGAATTGAAGCCTGACAGTCTATGCAAAGCTTTTTTATGTTAAAGTTGTTACTTATTTCCGATTTAAAAATATTCCTCAATATAAGATGAGGACTACTGGGATGCTGCTGTTACTACAACAAGAGAATGCTAATTTGTTAAGTTATTTGGACCTTTTGGTTTATTAATCTTGCAGTTACCGACTCCCTACCTGCTTGTACGCCCAGTTGAGCAGCTTGTATCTGTAGGACCGCCTCATTGGGTACGACAGGCTGTACACTGCATGCAACACAGCAAAAAAGAAGCTGAGCAGCCCGAACTGCTTCCGTGTCAGCATCCATCTGTCTAGCCATGGCGGGAATTTCTTGTACTTGGTTCCATTGCGGAGTTGTACAACTGCTGCTATCACTCCTGGCAAATAAACCAGCGCCAAGAGGGTGATGGAAACCATTGGCAAGACTTTGTTAATGACCAGGATTGGAATTCTATAAAAATACTGTTCATGGGAAGTTACTAAAGGGTGAATGATTTCCCTCAGAACAGTGTACAGGAAGGTCAGAGAGGATATAACCGCTGCAATTTTAATTGGCAAGCGCCAGTTCGGGAAGAATTCCTGCGTGTGCTGAAGCTCGGAGGGGCAGTCAAACGCATTAACATGGACGGTGTGCTGCAAATGCAAGAGCATGGGCCTTTTCAGCATGTGTGGGTCTCCCGTGTGCTTAGTCTACAAGAGAAAGAAAGAGAACGTCTTAACACGGGACAAAGCACTGGATTTCTTTTACTCTAATAACTTCCTGCTCCGTCATTGTGCTTCTTAGGGAACAGGGCATTCAGAAACTCGAGTGTGGATACCTGTCAGCTAAGGGCGGTATAGTCTGGGTGTGACTACTGCATCTTGATATGCTAGAATTCTCCATTTGTCTATTTGTTTCCCCCTGTGTTTGAGACAGAGTCCCATGTAGCCCAGGCTCCTCCCTTTATAACTGAACTGATTTGCCAGGTTCTGGACAAGGGTTGCCACCAAACTGGATTCCATTTCTCTTTAAAACAAGAGATACATGCTGCACTTATACTAAAGCTTAGACAGCCATGTCTCTTTTGAAGATTTGAAATAATGGAATAATCTTAAGAAGCCAATAAAAAAAGTTGTATTTTTTTGGGGGGGGGTCCGGTATTCTTTGGCAAAACCAGAAAACTTGCATTTCATATTAGGTATTCTGTAATGTTTCTGTTGGTTCCTGAGCAATTAATTATGCAGGGCAGTGACAGTGAATTCATTAATTCAAATGCAAAGGATCAGGAATAATAGGGCCATTACCAGCAAAGAAAAATATGAATTTCATTATGCAGTTGTGGTGTTTGGAATGAGAATAGTGGGAATAATAGGGTCATTATTGTAGGGAAAATACAAATTTCACTATGTAGTCTTGCACTTTGATTTTATATTTCTAAAACAGTCATTTGTCTAAGTGGTGATCTATAATATATGATCAGAAATTAAAAAAAAACTATTTAACTGACTAATTAACTCCTGCAGACACGATCCGCTTCCTGACAGGTTAATACTTCTCTGTCCACCACTTATTTATTTATTTATTTATTTATTTCTTGGTATTCAGTAATTCAAAAGAATGTGTGTTGTATAATTTGTCATTTTCACAAGGGATAAGCATAAACAAATTAAAAATCCAAATTAAGATCATGGAGTGTGTCATATCGGGCTCCTTTATGAATCACTTGCTTCTTATCTCTTCATTTTATCCTCATTTTTATAGCTCTATGTGTGCCAAAGGAGAATCCTCCACTGCTTGCCGTGATGTGCACGGTTATCTTGCTCATCTCATTGCACGCAGAGTAACTTTAACTCACATAGCACTCCATAACTACCGGTGCTTAAGAATGATCTCTCTAAGCTGTCTGAATTTTCCTGAGTCACACAGCACTGCTCTATCCAATGCCTTTCTAGTCACTCTGTGTGGGAAGGAAACGCCTTCTGTAATTCCTGCACGTTAATACAGCCTAAATGAATTAGCTGAGAACATTTTTCTAGTTAAGAGTGAAAATTATGATTCAGCAATTAAGAGAGTTAACTTGGAAAATGAAACTGATTTTGTTCTACAGGGTTATTTTTGTAAGGTAAATGTTTGTAATTCTTACTCCTTTTCCCTTCGAATAATTAATAAAACAATCTGTTAGAATCGAATTCCATATATTTTAAAAAGGTAGGAACTTTGGAACCAAAGATTCCTGACACTTTTTCAAATGATGCAGTGAGAAACATTTAATCCTGTGGTTGACCCAAAGTGGGACAAGTGATTCTTTGCATGAAGAGATTTGGTTAAACAGTGAGTCATTGTTTACTTGGAGGTCTGTCCTGTAAGCTGCTATAGTGCCTATAAAAATGCTTAACAAAACTACTTTTATATGGGACATTGTAACTTTTGTTTTAAAACTTAGAACCAAATGTGTTAGAAAGGACTGGAAGGGCTCTGGGGATGATCAGTTAATTCACTTTGTGCAGAAATACAAGACTTGGGATTTTGCAGGGACCTGATGAAGGTTATTCAGCTCTGCCCAGATAAACTAGTCAAGTCAACTCTTATGCCACACTGCCCCTTACTCAGGGTAACTTCAGTCACAGGCATCTGAACATGGAGACCAGCAGACTAGAATGGAATGTACTCTCTCAACACTAGTAGATTCAGTAGATTCAGAATACACTGAAGTGTGTATAGATTTTATTACTAGCTATTATAGTCATTATTTTACCGAGTAACTGTCATCTTCCAGACTTCTCTTAGGCTTCATTTTCCAAAGTTCTTCTTGGTTTGTAATATCTTTAATGTTCTCCATGATTGCTATAAAATAGTATGGCTTCAGCCACCTAGAAAAAAAAAGTCTATGCCATTTATGATACTATTGTTTTATGGAACAATATAAAGTATTTATTTACTTTAGAATGAGAGAAGATAGATACAATTAAGATTCCAATAGTGAATAACCTGGACATTTAGAGAGTGGCAAACTAGTGTACAAATGTCAATTATTTGCTCAATGAATGAACTATATCTATATGAAACATAAAGGATTAGTTGTTATTTTTTACTTCAGGAAGATTTAACTTCAGATTCTCAGAAGAAAGCCCACTCCCCTTAAGGGAAAATGGAATTAGGAATCCGTTTTCAGTTTTGAGTAATGATGTTATCAGTGGAGGCTTGAGGTAGCTGATACAGAACTTCAGGAAGATTTATGTTTCATAGGCTTCCGGGGTTGATGAGGGAAGCTGAAACAATTGTGAACTGATCTGTAAGTTGAAATGGCCCCGAAGGCAGTGAACAGAAGAGACATGATTATTAAGGTGAAACCCAACAGTTGCTTCAAGGGCCAAAAGGCTGTATGGTCAGAGTGGCCTTTGCACAAGTCCTGTTGGTAAAACATGGCTGCCCATCTATTTCCAATGGGGTGCTGAGTCGTGCTCAGTCACTGACGGACCCACTTAGTCAATTCCATGAAGAAGAAGCTAGTCAAACAAAGAAAATTACTTCTTAAGTGCTTTCAGAGAGCTCAATCCAGCTTTGGTTTAGCCCTTTTTATTCAAGAGTAGCAGGATGTCATATTATTCATTGTTTTGAGTGAGCTCTAAATTCACTCTTAGAGGATTCCATCTGCAATCTGTACTTTGTCAAACAAAAGAGAAAAACAAATTAAACATACAACAGTTATGTTGGTGGAAAACATTCCAAATACCTTGGAAGTTTGGATCACCTGTAACACTTCATGAAGTGGAAAATTATTTCCAGGAGTGGGTTGTAATAGTTAGAATACTTTCCAAGTTTTAAAGCTCAGGGCTTCACAAAGAATAGAGGAGTCATCTTTCCCAAACACCAACTTTTTTTTTTTTTTTTTTTTTTTTTTTTTTTTTTTTTTTTTTTGTTAAGGTGCTTTGGGAAACTTTTCCAGAATTACCTGTCCAGAAACATTCAGGATGAGAATATATGTTGGGGATCCCTCATGTGAAAATCACAAAGTTGTTCCAAAGTGCAAAACTGGAGTCTTGATATGGTAACACAAGTGGAAAGTTCCAGATGTGACCTCATGTGAGGGTATGCACCCAAATTCCAGGTACAATAAATGTATTATATTGTATGCTTTTTAGATAGGGTCTCAGTATACAGTTCTAGCTGACCTGGAACCTGCTATGTAGAGCAGGCCTCAGACTCAGAGAGCCACCTGCCTCTGCCTCCGGAGTGCTGGGATTAGAGGTGTGCGCCACCACACCCAGCAAATCATCCACAGGCCAAGCATATGCAAACAAAGTGCATATGAAGCCAGAATGAACTTCCTGTTCAAACTTGCATCTTATCCACAACAAAGCTTATTGTGCTTATGTGACTATAAAAAAAATGGACAAAGTATTTCTGGTTCTAAGTGTCTTTTGGATTCATATGACAATTAAAATTGTATTTACTGTTTTGACTAGCCCATGTAACATCGTTCTTCTGGTTGTAGGACAATGACACAGGCTTGGCCATCCAGAGTTAATTTCTGTGATCACACTGAGTAGCTTAGGACGGCAGTCAAGTCTAGTGGGCAAGTTAAGTCCTCTTCTGACATAATCTCCATGTCACAGAGAATGAAAAGATATCCTTAACAATTTTTTTTTTGTTACGTTAGGGTAGCATAAAACTACCATGTCACCCCCCTGTATAAGTTGGAAGGCTTCTTTATTTGAGCACAAGAAAGCCACCACAGAAAAACCAAACAATAAATAAAGGACAGGTCCAGGTGGCAATAGTTTAAATACTTAATACACCTGAGACCAGTTCTTGGATTTCTCAATTACATTAGTTAATTACCCCCCCCCCCATTTTTTAAAGTTTGAGTTGTGTGCTGACCATTGTCATTTGGAAGAATCCTGGGTAAAGTGTATGCCATTCAACAAGCATTTACAAGGCTAAGTCCACACAGATGCTAAAAAGGAAGAAGAATGAGACTTCGTACCTGACCTGGAGGGGCTTACAGTCTTTCAAAAACATTATTTAATGTCATTTGGTAATTTTATAAAGACAGTAGTTTGGGAGGGGTATCTAGGAATAGAGTAGCATGCATGTAACGAAACACAAGAAACGTTTTACTAAGTTTAGAGCATATTTTAACTGGCGGTTCAGTGTGGTAAAGAGTGATGTATATAAATCTATAGCTGCTCACTGTTAATTCATTAAACACACTCTGAACAATGATGCCAGACATGGGGAATACAAAGTTAAATGAGATGTCTGTTCTCAAAAACCTTTTAGTTTAGGACACGCAAACACTCAGGCAATAACTGTGTGCTAACACCATGCATCTTAAAGGACAATAGTGTACAGATGGGTGGTGACTCAGGAAAGGAAACGAAGAAAATGGATGAGAACTCTCTTCTATATCCAGTCCTGTGACCCGCAGCAGGTTGCCAGTGCTTGCTGACAGAGAACCACTACACAGAGATTCCGGGTAGAAAGCCAGAGTGACCCCAAGAGGTGCCCAGCCATTTGTTTGCATGGTACCACGCTAAGGAGGAAGGCCAAGGAAAAATACCCATGTCAGTAAGGGTGATTGTTGACTGTGTGCCCAGAAACCAGGAAAGCAAAATATCAGCTAAATAAAACATGCTGGCTTCGTTAGACATTAGGTAAACATGTAATTGGAGTTCTGCAGGAGGGAGGGTTACATCAGACTGCCCAGCAATCCCAGCAGGAAACAGCAGTATGAAGATGTCAAGAACTCCAGGATTTGACCCAATATTCACCGACCCTTCCCCATTAAAAGGGAAGTACAGATTATGACATGATTTCTGTTTTGCTGGACTAGGATGGCTGGCTTGCTGTTCCTGCTAAATATTGACACAGCCCAACTGACTCATGTTTACGGCCAGGAGTTTAGAATCCAAGAAACCCAATGACTGGAATACATTGTGGGTTGCAGTGTCTGTCCCATCTTGGGGACCTTCAAATGTATTTCGGCTTTGCCACACTCAATTATTGGGAGAGGGGATGGCGTTCTTCTCAGAGCTGACCCTTAAAGCATTGTGCTGTACATTAATGCTAAGTAAATTCCCTTGGTTAAATACGGATATGTGGACACCTCCCCACCCCAACCCAACAGCGCAGCCAAATTCGAAGTGTACTTAAAATTCTGTGTCTACAAATGCCAGGCAGTGTATTTCACTGGAGTAACTTATTTAAAAGCTTTGATTGACTACTTTGGAGAAAACCCGAATCCCACCCAGATCTCCAAAGACTAGGGCCGGTGTTCCAAGGACTTAAAATGAAAAAAAAAAAATTCCACTAACTAGGAAACCAGAAGTCCAAACAAACATCACGACAAGGTAGCGGCCATCCATCAGGTGATGCAAACTCGAGGAGACTGCCGAGTTGGCAAACTTAACATCTGACCCCAACCCGCCTGCAAACTTAACCACCGTCCTAAAAAGCTCCACGCCCTATGGGCACGGCCTCGGAGTCCTGCTCCCCGCGGGGTCCACCAGTTAACCCCGCTGCCCCGAGCACACGCTGCAGGCAACCAGCCGGCTCGCGGCACCCCTCCCAGGCCCACA